CGTCAATGATGGACCAGATTCAATAAGATAGAAAATAAGATACTAGGTTCTGGGGAGAGTGGAAAAAGACACCACACAAGATAAAGTTTTTTCTTTAGTAAGGAACCATATAAAAATGAATTATTTACAATTACCCAAATTCATTTAATTGATATTTGATACTGTTTCTGAGGTCTTTTGGATCTGAGATTTTTTTGCATTCTTCCTATTTTTCTTGCATCAGGCTCTAAAGGGTTAAAGCTATTTTTGGGGCTTTTAAAGCTAATTTTGGGGGCTTTTGAAGCAGTTTTTTTGTGCTTTTAAAACGGTTTTTTGGGGCTTTTAAACCTTTTTTGGGGCTTTAAAAGCTGTTTTTTGTGCTTTTACAGCTGCTTTGGGGGTCTTAACCCTATAAAGCCAAATGTGTCATATTTGATACGGTTTCTGAAGTCTTTTGGATCTGAGACTTTTTGCATCATTCTTCATATGTTGTTGAGGGGCCAAAAAAAGACTTCAGACTAAAAAAATCCAATATTCTTCCTATTTTTCTTGAATCACGCTTTGAAGGGTTAAAGCTGTCTTTTGGGGCTTTTAAAGCTAATTTTGGTGGCTTTTGAAGCTGTTTTTTTGTGCATTTAAAACTTTTTTGGGGGGGTTTAAAGCTATTTTTGGGGGCTTTTAAAGTCTTTTTTTGGCCCTTTAAACCTTTTTTTTGTGCTTTTAAAGCTGTTTTGGGGGTCTTAACCCTATAACGCCAAATGTGATCATGCCTTAAAGTGTTTAAAATGGTCAATAACCGTATATTCTTTCGCCTTCTTTTGGATCAGGCTTTAAAAGGTTAAAGCTATTTTTTGGGGCTTTTAAAGCTCTTTTTTTGGCCTTCAAAGCCGTTTTTTGGGGCTTTTAAAGCTGCTTTGGGGGTCTTAACCCTATAACGCCAAATGTGATCATGCCTTAAAGGGTCAAAATGGTCAATAACCGTATATTCTTTCGCCTTTCTCTTCCAGAAAAAGCCCAAAGATGCCCGAGCGGTGGCGAGGAGAAGGACCCGTACTACGTTGAGACGCCTTACGGCTTTCAGCTGGACCTCGACTTCCTCAAATATGTCGACGACATCGAGCGTGGAAACGCCGTAAAAAAGAAGCTGAGCCTCCAGAGGAGGCCGAGGCCCCGCCCCCCCGGGGGCGAATGGGCCTCCACGGACTCCCTCTCCTCCTCCAATAGCGACGAGAAGCCGCCGGCCCCGTTAAGCCCCGCCCCCTTCCGCCCCGCCCCGTTAAGCCCCGCCCCTTTTCGGGCTTACCCTGATAGACAGGGGAAACTTTCGCCCCGTTTCGAGGCTCGCCACAACCCCCCGAACGTGGAGAAAACGCTCATGGAGACCCGGCGCCGTCTGGAACAGGAACGAGTCCTGATGTTGACGCACGCCGACCCGATGATGATGGCGGCGGCGCCCTCGTCGCCACGGCGACGGCTGGCGAGCTTCGGAGGCGCGACGGGCTCCAACAGCTCGCTCTCTTCCCACTCGGGTTCGGGTTCGGGTTCGATCCACCAGAACCAGAACGGGCTCCTCCTCCAGGCCAACGGGGACTACTACCGGCCGATCCGCCACAGCCCGGCGAGCTCGGGCGTTGCCACGCCGACGACCACGACGCCGACGACGACAATGGCGGCAATGGCCGCCAACCTGCAGCAGATCCGGGAGCAGATGTCGGTGGCCCTGCGGAGGCTGAAGGAATTGGAGGAGCAGGCCAAAACCATCCCAGTTCTGCAGGTCAAGATCGCCGTGCTGCAGGAGGAGAAGCGCCAACTGGTCGCCCAGTCGAAGGGAAATGGCGGCGTTGCCATGGCGATCGGCGGCGGTTTCCGCAAGCGCTCCTACAGCGTGGGAAGCGCCGACCAGATGGAGAGCAGCAAGAAGGAGGCGGAGCTACACATCTCGGAGCCCGAAAACGCCCAACGACTGGACGAGTTCCGGCGTCTGGCCGCCGAGGTCCAGGCTCTGGATGGGACCTCGGACGCCATGCCCCCGATCGCCATGACAACCGCCTCGCCAAAGCCAAACGCCTCGCCGAACGCCACGCCGAAAACCTCCATCCAGAAGTCGTCGATCGGCGTGGTTACGGACGAGAACATGAACAACCTCTGGGCCTGTTTTCGCGAGTTTCCGCGATGCCGGAGGGACGTTGCCACGGCGACGGAGCGCCCGGATACGCGCAGCGCGTCGTCGTCGGTGACGGAGGCCATGTTGGGCGTCGGCGGCGAGGCGGAGCGCGAGATCGAGCTCCAGCAGCTCGCCATCGACGGCCTGAGGGAGAAAGTCTACCGATTAGAAGTTCAGCTCAAAGAGGCCACGCACGAAACGGAAATGGCGAAGCTCAAGATGGAGATAATGGCCGCCGCCGGGAAACGGACGGCCGACAAGGGCCTCACGGTGCGGCCGGAGACGTACGATGCCAGCGTGGAGGCTAAGGTCCACACCAGAGACATGGGAGTTGGCGGCCATCTTGGTAGTGGCGGCGAAACGGCGTTGGCGAGCATGTCGATAGGCGTTTCCTGTCGGATCGAGACAAAAAACGCCGTTTCTGGACCGGAGGAACCGATGGACCGGTGGGAGGTTAAGCGGCGGGCGGAGGTAAAGGACGAGTGCGTGGGGGTATCCATGGAGACGGGAACGGCGAGCGATGGCGGGGAAATGGCGAGAAACAAGATGGCGGCGTTGGCGAGCGAGGAAATGGCGTTGGCGAGCGAGGAGATGGTGATGAAGAAGATGGCGGCGTTGGCAAGCAGGGAGGCGGCGTTGGCGAGCAGGGAAATGGCGGTTTTGGCGAGCGAGGAAATGGCGAGAAACAAGATGGCGGCAATGGCGAGCAGGGAGGCGTTGGCGAGCGAGGAAATGGCGGCGTTGGCGAGCAAGTCGGTGGGCGTTTCCTGTCGGGTCGAGACACAAAACGCCATCTCTGGACCGGAGGACCCGATGGACGATGGCGTGGGGATTTCCCTGGAAACGGGAATGGCGAGCAATGGTGGCGAGGAAATGGCGAGAAACAAGATGGCGGCGTTCCCGAGCGGGGAAATGGCGTTGGCGAGCAGGTCGGTGGGCTGTGGCGACTGTTCCGTGGACATCATCGTTTCCCCCGTCAAGTCGTGGGTGTCCCGCGGCACGGACGCCATGGCGACGGTCGTCCGGATGGACTCGGGCGTCATGGCGACCCCGGAGTCCGTTGCCCGGGAAACCAACACCGACACCGAGGTCGAGGCGGAGGTCAGGGTCGCTAACAAGGCCACCAACACGGCGCCCGCCGAGACCCGGACGGTGGCGGCCGGCGAGGGCTTGGTCAAGGAGCCCGTCGCCGTGGCGAGGACGCGCTCCGTTGCCGTGGGAACGATGGCCGACAACGCCTCCGTCGCCATGGAGCCCCTCGCCAAAACCAGAG